TTATAGCTATGTATTAGTTGTCTGATTTCTTAATTCCCGTGTTTTTTTTTGTTTTTTCTTTCCTTATAAGAGAAATTCCGTTTGAGGTTAGTGTCATGTTCCGAAATTATCTCACATGTTTACTTTATTTATTTTTGGCTTTCTTTCTGAAATGATGAATCACAGAACAAATTGAGTCCGTGTTCTTCCAATTTTTTCATTGTCTTCAATGATCTTAATTAGGCGTCAAGCAGCCATGCCAAGGTTATTTTATTAATAGTAGCAATGTCCTATACGGAATCAGAGGAATAAATACTTTATATATACGACAAACAAGTCTTTACAGCATTAGTAATTGCTCCTTTATCAATATTAGAAAATCTTGTTATTATAGCTATGTATTAGTTGTCTGATTTCTTAATTCCCGTGTTTTTTTTTGTTTTTTCTTTCCTTATAAGAGAAATTCCGTTTGAGGTTAGTGTCATGTTCCGAAATTATCTCACATGTTTACTTTATTTATTTTTGGCTTTCTTTCTGAAATGATGAATCACAGAACAAATTGAGTCCGTGTTCTTCCAATTTTTTCATTGTCTTCAATGATCTTAATTAGGCGTCAAGCAGCCATGCCAAGGTTATTTTATTAATAGTAGCAATGTCCTATACGGAATCAGAGGAATAAATACTTTATATATACGACAAACAAGTATATATGTCTATATCTGCTAATATTTATCTTTCGTGTGACAACGAAATTCATATTTTTGGAAGAGATCACCTTAAACAAAATACATTGGACGGGCCATCTTGGTCAACGTGATGATCAGTTAATTAATGGTTTTTGAATTTTTAAAATTGATGTAGACGCTGTTAAAAGTAATTTTTTAGGGTAAGATGCATTAAACCCAGGCTTTGATTTCGTGGTTATGAAGATTAAAAAGTACGTCATGATCAGTAATATATAATCTAATAACGTGACCTTCATGCATGAGAAGTTTAACTGCAATTTCATACCTTGTATAATATAATTATTTTGTTTTCAAGATCTATACAATATAGATCCAGTGTTTGACGTTGTTATGTACACTCAATTTACAGATTTGAGTGATTAATTTGTACATGCCAATTATCTTATCTACTTATATTTCTCTCTTCTAGAAAGGTTTTTACTGAGGCCTATTTTGAGAGTTATTCTTCAATTGTCTAGTTTCTGCTTTAACCTTATGGCGTCAGTTCACCACTTGTCATTTTTAGCTTCCTGGTGTTTTTTAGGAACTTTTCTTTTTCTTGTCTTTTGCTGTATTTCTTACCCATTATTTTTGAATTTTATTTATTCTATTCAATAAAATAGAGTGAGGAGCTTAGCGTGGGATAGAAGTTTAAAGAGGTGCCAACCTAATTAGGTTGTTTTGCTGCTAGTTGTCTTTCTCATCATTAATTATAAATAAATAAAAAAACCTTAATTTTTGTGACAGTTACTTTAAATATTACTCTGATACTTAATGACCTCGTTTAATTCATAAATTTAAACATAAATTTTATTTTTTACAAGAAAATACTAAAGAAAAAGATTTGAACCTTATGGTTCAATCTGCATACCAAACAACATGATCTAAATATTTTATATTAATTGCTCGAAACTTTAATATTATTCATAAATATGCTTAAAAAACTTGTAGTTTCTACCTTTAATCAATCTAGGAAACATATTGAAGAAAAAATGTTAACATTTTGTTTGAAAAATGTTTGAAAGCACCACTAATGTTAAGTACTATAATTAGTAATAGAAAATGGACATGATTTGTGGGTCAACATTTGTGATGACATGATATACACTCATGGTACTATTTAACGCATAGGGCTGCTTGACTAATTAATTAAAGAGCTATAAAAAAAGGAGAACAATTTATTCTTACGAGAATAGCACGTTAAAGATATTACAACACAGAAACATGCTTTTAAAGGGATAAAACTTTAAGAACAACTACTTAATAATGATATCAGCACACAAAACTTTCACTACAGACATTGGCAAAAGCTGATGACACATAAACATAGAAATTATAAGGGTTCGGTTTAATTCAAATGACTTGAAGGCGAAGTTGGTCAATACTAGATTGCACATCAATCTCATCCCCATTAGCCTCCAAGGACCGCTTGTAGGTGGCTCCGCGGTACGCTGGCGGGTGAGAATCGTCGACAAACTCCGGCGCCGGCTTCACAAATGTATCCAACGACGGTCCGTGAAGTGTGGCCACGGATATCCTCTTCACCTTGTTGTTGTCCACCACCACTCTGTGAACATGACTCTTGTACTTACCATTTGTTAAAATCTGTCATATTTGACCATTATCATCAATTAATTAATAACAATATCAACCACGTTTAGAAGGCACTGATTTTTGAAACAAGAATGAAATATAGGACTCCTCTTTACTTATAAAATTAATGAACAATGTTAGGTATCTCACGTCTATTAATTTTTTTTTCCATTAAATTCCGCAACAAATTATAAGGTTTTTTAAAAAAAAAAAAAATAGAGAGAATACGAATATGAGAAATACAACACTTTCCAATTAATTATTAATGAAAGGAGGGATAAAAAAATAAAAAACGCGAAAACAGACAGGAATTAAAAAAAAAAAAAAAAAAACCTACTCCCCTTAATAAAATTAATTAAGAGATGCCTCATTAAAACCGCTCGACCTAGAGAGTCGTAACGTAACAAATAACAAGTTGTTATGCATCTTTATTAACAAAAATTAATAAATAGTAATATGTAAGAATTAAGTTGTTAATTATTTTCCAAAGTAGTTAAATATAACTCTCTATAACTAGATTTTCTCATTAATTATAAAATGAACCAACCAACTAAATGTAATATATATATATATATATATTATTAACAAAAATTAATAAATAGTAATATGTAAGAATTAAGTTGTTAATTATTTTCCAAAGTAGTTAAATATAACTCTCTATAACTAGATTTTCTCATTAATTATAAAATGAACCAACCAACTAAATGTAATATATATATATATATATATAGACACACACACACACACACACATACACCTCAAGGTGATCGCCAAGATTGATGAAGATAGCGTTAGGGGGCATGTCATAAACGTCGATCCAGTTTCCGGCATTCGATAGTATTTGGAGGCCGCCATTAACGTCTTGAACGAGCGAGACGAAGAAGCCAGGGTCGGTGTGATCAGGTACGCCGACGGCACCTTTGGATTGGAAATTTGGAGGATAAAGGTTCATTGCAGACACATCAAACCCTGATTCAAGGTTGAATGCCTTCTCTATGTAGCATTCTTCAAATCCTAATGTTTTTGATACTGCTTTACCTAAACCACGTACCACTTCTCTCAATCTCTTGAAATATTCCTCCATAGCCTCACTGCGTATGCATGTCCAAAATCAAACAATAACGGATGAAGCAAAATTGTAACACTAGATATCTATGATCATGTGTTATATATATCATGAAATAGTTTTATGATAATATCATGAGATATGCATCAATTCTGTTATGAGTTCAATAAAAATTAAAACTTCTTGGTCTTTGAACTTCTTTCTTTCCTGATGGTTGATAACTTTTATGACTTCTGTGGAGGAAAATTATATTTTACATATCGTTATTTTTATTAGTATTTTGATTTTATAATTTGTTTTAGTTATTAGAAAATCTCTAGATTTGATAGCTACGTAATTTACTTGATTAGCAGTTTTCAATATATACCTAAAACTAGGGCAAGCAATCTGAGTAGTGACACGACGACATGACTCGAAATCCGCAAGAAGTTAGCGGGTTTAGGTTTACTATAAATGGGTTTGGGTCATAATCAGGTTAACACGATTAACACGATTAATAAATAAATTGGGTTAAGGTTGACCTCCTAACACGAAGTGACATGATTAACTATATGTGTTATCTGCAATCTAATTATATGTGATATAACATGAAAGTTTATATGATATATTAAATACAAATAATGTGAATTTTAATATTTGTAGGTAAAATTCATTTATTTTTTATAAAGGAAAAGATAAATTAACCAATAAGCATGTTATACATGTCTTAACCGTGTTAAATAAGTCATTATTGTATTAATTATTTATTTAATATTTTAATTTAAACGGGTTATACGGATTGACACGATTAACACGATCAATCAATGGATCGTGTTTGGGTTGACATTTTTGACACGTTTAATAAACATGTCGTGTTTAGGTTGATATTTTCTGATATGATTAATAAACGAGTTGACACGAACACGATCCACTAACACGAATTGTAACTTTTACCTGAAATCGGCTGGTTTAGGAGGGCAATGGAAGCGAGGATGAGCAACCACCTTAAGATATTCCCTATTCTCTCCAGGTGAGGAGCGCAAGCCCCATCTGATCCTATCTGTTGGATTCTTTTTCTCGTACTGCCTTCGATCCTCCACCTCTATCGGATCAAAGAAATCAGAAATTCCCTTGAAAACGCTCTCGAAAACATTATCAGTGATACCATGATTAACGAGCTGTTAACCGAGTTAAATAAGTCATTATTGTATTAATTATTTATTTAATATATTAATTTAAACGGGTTATACAGATTGACACAATTAACACGATCAATCAATGGATCGTGTTTGGGTTGACATTTTTGACACGTTTAATAAACATGTCGTGTTTAGGTTGATATTTTCTGATATGATTAATAAACGAGTTGACACGAACACGATCCACTAACACGAATTGTAACTTTTACCTGAAATCGGCTGGTTTAGGAGGGCAATGGAAGCGAGGATGAGCAACCACCTTAAGATATTCCCTATTCTCTCCAGGTGAGGAGCGCAAGCCCCATCTGATCCTATCTGTTGGATTCTTTTTCTCGTACTGCCTTCGATCCTCCACCTCTATCGGATCAAAGAAATCAGAAATTCCCTTGAAAACGCTCTCGAAAACATTATCAGTGATACCATGATTAACGAGCTGCACATATACACATAAAGTGAAATATCAAAATCAATGTCAAAGGACTTTAGCTAGAAGGACAAATAATAATAACAATAATGATAATAATAATAATAAATAGTTCTTGTAAGGCTTTCATGTCCCAGGATGAATCAATTATTAATCATGTCTTGTTTAGAAAAGAAGAAAAGGTTATAAAGATGAAAAAAAAAATCATGAATATATATATATATATATATACACACACACACACACATACGTACATAGAAGAAGCCGTAGTCCTGGCAAACATGTCTGAGGTAATTCAGGGCTTTGGAACGTTGATTAGGATCATTGGAGAAGAGCATAAAATAGTCAATTGTTGGGACGTCATATTGTTCGTGATCATAATTATAAGCAGCTTTCGTGGTATTATAACAATAAGGCTTTTGATTAATAGAGACATCAGAAATCAATGCAGCCATTTGAGAGAGAGAGATATATCAGTTAGAGAGAGCAAAGTGGCTTAGAACTAAAAACAGAATATGTAAGAAGACTTGAGCAAGTTGCTACTTTGCATGCGTGAATCGAGCTCCTCTTGTCTAAAATTTATAGAGCGTTGGGATGCATGTTCCGTAACATAATTGATCATCACCACCGACAAAAATTAAGTTTTTTATTGTATAAAATATTAATTGATAACAATAATAACATGTTATGAAATAGTAAAGAATGACCAACGTCTAATTTTCATTGCCTAGCTAGTCTCAACTAGAAAAAGAAAATATAAAAAGCGTGGTTCTTAAGAGAAAAGATAAACATTGCGCTTAAGGACAAGATCGAGGTTGGTGATTATGGACTGCAAGTGGATGAACTTTTTTTCTTTATTACGAATGAATTTTTCTTTTCTTTTTTCTTATGTATTAAAAAAAAAGGCTTCATTTCAAAAACCCGAGACATGATTTAAGGAACCGAGAATATAGAGACCATAGTAAGACAAAAAAAGAAAAAAAAAAAAAAAAAAAAGAGGAACCAAAGCCTTACCAAACAGGAAAACAAGTTGGGAAATATTATTCATTTCTTGTAAAATCAAGTAATATTAATGCCGTCATAAGTATAAGGTCATCAACGTCAACGTTTTTAATTAGTCAACACAAACTAATCTATGCATGAGCATAATGTTCGAGTTAATTACTTTATTGGTGATTTTATAAGTAAAAAATACGAAGTACTAGCTAGTCTTCTTTGAATCTTACAATCGCTAGAATTACTTTATCATATCTAGCTAATCAACAGGCCATTCAAAATATATGCTCTTGTTTTTGTTTAGAGCGGCAATGCCCAATAATGCATCGACGTCTCGTTTTCTAAAGTAAAGAAAATAGAGGGACAATCATATAGAGAACATGTATTACCGGAACCATGACATCTTTTAATAAATAAAAAATTTTAAACTATATCTTTTTTCCAGCAAAAAACTATCTGTATATATTTTTTTATCCAAATGAACCAAGTTTCTATTGAGTTGTCTTCTATCAAGCACCCCACACAAATTTATTAATAAAAAAAGAAAGAAGAATACTAAAACAAAAATAAATAAAATGAGAAACCAGCTCTAAAGGCTAACAAAAACGAAAAAAAAAAAAAAAAAGAAGGAACAATATATAAGCAACTCTAAACAAAAGCGAAAGAAAAACAAAAATCTAAAGAGAAAACCGCCAATACAAAGACCGGTCTCGTAAAAATGCCCTTAAAAAAAACCCCAATAACCCAATTGAAAAAACTCAAATAAAGGGAAAAATAAAAATACATGATTCCACGTGATCGGTCTTCAAGCTTAATAAACTATAGCTTTAGCATCCTGTTCTGAGCACCCATATTGGAGCTTTAGACGTTTGGTTCATGAATTAGAATCATCTGATTAGAATTATTTTTGATTTACGTGTATTTTTTATGAGAAAAAACACTGTAACGAACCATGAATCATGATTCAAATTATAGTTTGAATCCTCCAACCAAACATCCAAGCGCGGGGATTGGTTTGGTGGATAGGGAGCTGCCCCTAATAGATTTTTTTATTTTTTAAAATCTTGTACACAAAAAGATATATCGTATTATATTAATATACACGTAACCGCGTTAAGAGGTTAATCTTATAACTCTAATAAATTTTTGCTCAAAAATGTTTGACGCCGTAGCCATAAGCATTGAACATGAACTAAGAAACCAACGATCTTCAATGGAAACGATAATTAGGCATAAGATCAACCATGTGTTTGTTTGTACACATTCTCCATATCCAAATCTGGCGCTTATAATAAAAGCACCCAAGCTATACGTTACTTCAAATCCTTCTCTCTATAAATGATCAGAGTACTCTAGGTTTTTATATACTTACAAATCATGAGGTCAACTGGATCACTAGAATCAATCATGATGAAGTTCCTAATTCGTTGCATGCACCGATCAAGTTATATAAACTCGCTCCGTTTTCTTGTTATTATAATTAATCTCGTAATTTGTACATATACACCTCGTTTTCTAGGGATTCAATGTTGTTTTAGGACGCTGTTGTCTCTTTTCTGTTCTCTTTTTTTCCTTTATAATGAAGATGTCGTTAATTGGTATTTTAGTCGTTCTTACAGTTTCTCTCGTTTTCTGCTATTACTTATCGTTTTATATTTAGCGTTGGTCACAAGATATATGGTTGTCTCTTTCTAAACGAAGCGCGCCGTATTAACATTGTTGTTTTTATATTTGCACTGTTTCTAGAAAATTTTGTCGTTGATTTGTTTTTGCAGTGTTTTCCAGTTAATGGCGTTTCCATTGACGTCGTTTGATGGGATTATTGTCGTTTGTAATGTGATGCCTTTTTTTCCCTATGCTGTTGATTTCCCAGACAGTACTTGTTGCGTCTGAGGTTGTTCTGGTTCTAATGTCAGTGTCTTTATCCATATGATGACTTCCATTTTATGAGGAGTTGAGCTCATTTTAGTCCAAGCTTTTATATATATATATCTTATAATCTCTCCTAATTACAATCAAACACACCCCCAATTAAGCCCAATCACCAATCACAGCTAATATACAAGAAATCAAACTAAGAAAGGAAAGAATTTCAACACTCCCCCTCAAGTTGGTGCATAGATATCGCACATGCCCAACTTGTCTAAAAAAGATGAGAATACTCGATAGGAGACTGCTTTGGTGAGAATGTCGGCCAGCTGATCTTCTGATTTTATCTTAGGTAACTCCACAATCTTTCCATCTAGCTTCTCCTTGATGAAGAATCTGTCTACCTCAACGTGCTTCGTACAATAATGTTGTACTGGATTATGAGCAATGTCACATGCTGCTTTATTGTCACAAAACAATCGGATTGGTTGCCTAGATAGGTAACCCAAATCCTGTAAGAGTAATCTTAGCCATAAGGCCTCACACAGTCCTAATGCCATGCCTCTAAATTCAGCTTCTGCACTTGAGCGAGCGACAACATTCTGTTTTTTACTTCTCCATGTTACAAGATTTCCACCTACAAAGGTAAAGTAACCAGAGGTAGATCGCCTATCATCCACAGCATCGGCCCAATCAAAATCAGTATATACTTCTATACTCTGGTTATGTGCATTTTTGGTGAACAAAATTCCCTTCCCAGGGGCACTCTTTAGATACCTCAAAATGCGCATGACTGCATTCATATGTTGTTCTCTAGGATTATGCATGTATTGACTTACTACACTTAATGCATAAGCAAGATCTGGCCTTGTGTGAGCTAAATACATCAATCTTCCCACAAGTTTCTGGTATCTTCCTTTATCAGCGGGTGTTTGATTGGGTTCCGCACATAATTTCAAACCTTCTTCTATTGGTGTATCAACATGTTGACATCCTGACATTCTAGTCTCTTGTAAAAGATCTAGGGCATACTTTCTTTAGGATAGAAATATTCCTGTACTTGATCGAGAAACTTCAATCCCAAGAAAGTATTTTAGAGGACCTAGATCTTGCATTTCGAATTCTCTAGACAAATAATTCTATAGAGCTTTCCTTTCTTCTGAATCATTTCCTGTAACCACCATGTCATCGACATATACGATGAGTGTTGTAATCTTACCATGTTGCTTCTTCAGGAACAACGTATGATTGGAATTGCTTTGATGGTAGCCAAAAAATTTCATCGAGTTTGCGAATCTTCCAAACCATGCTCTCGGGGATTGCTTTAACCCATACAATGACTTTTTCAATCTGCATACCTTTTGATTATGTTTTTCTGATGCCATGCATCCTGGTGGAAGATCCATATATACTTCTTCAGACAACTCACCATGCAGAAATGCATTCTTCACATCGAATTGTTGTAACGGCCAGTCCAAGCTTGCAGCTAAAGACAATAATACTCGAATCGTGTTGATCTTGGCTACAGGTGCAAATGTCTCTGTGTAGTCGATCCCATAAGTTTGAGTATACCCTTTTGCTACTAGTCTTGCTTTAAAACATTCAATACTACCATCTGCCTTGTACTTCACAGTATAAATCCAACGACACCCAACTGGCTTCTTGCCTGGTAGACACTCTACAAGTTCCCATGTCTCATTCTTTTGTAATGATTTCATCTCCTTATTCATGGCTGCTTTCCATCTTGGATCAGCTAAGGCTTCCTATACACTGTTAGGAATAGCTACAGTAGATAATTGATTTATAAATGACTTATTTGATTCAGACAAACGATGGTTAGACACATAGTTACTCATGGGATATTTGACTTTACTAGATAGCTCAGGTTCATATGTGGGTTTAGGAATACCTCTAGTATGACGATGTGGTAACTGTTTTCTGAATGACTCAGACTCTAAATTAAGGACACCCTCAACAGACGACGATTGGTTTGGTATATCAGCGAGGACGTCCTCGAACCCAAATTGCTCGGATGGTGGTAGAGGTCAAGTTATTCTGTCTCTTTCTTCTTCTGTCATTTCTTCAATGTCAGCTTATGGGTGTTCATCACCACGTAGTTCCAGAGTTATACCACTCAAATCCAATTTACCCACTTCCTGATTCACTAGTTCAGATCGTTTAGACTCACCTTCCTCAGATATGTGATCATCATAATCAAGAGTCTGAATTTCCTGATGGTACTCCCCTGAAGTTCAGACTTAGAGGAAAAATACATTGTGTCTTCATGAAACACCACATCCATTGTAATAAACATTCGTCGAGTTGGAGGATGATAACATCGATATCCTTTTTGGTGCAAGGCATATCCAACAAACACACATCGCAAAGCACGGGGAGTTAACTTGTTGCTTTGGTGTTTGTGGAGATGCACAAACGCCACACAACCAAAAACGTAAGGTGGCAGATTTAGGACTGCCAAAGCAACAACAACATCAGTCAGAGCTTGGAGAGGAGTTCGAAAGTTAATTGAGCTAGAAGGTACCCGATTGATAATGTATGCGGCAGAGGTAAGTGCTTCTCCCCAATAGGA